GCAATTGGCTGTGTCCCAGGCAGTTTAGAGATTTAGTAATGGGCTGGGTGTAGCTCAGTGATAAAGCTCTTGCCTAGCAGGTACAAAGCCCTGGGTTTGATCCTGAGCGCACTCAAAAAATAAAAAAGAACTGACAATTAGACACCTCTGACAAGGTGTTAATATCCAAAACATATAAGGAATTCCAGCAACTCAATGTCAAAAAAACAGATAATCCAGTTTATGGTTTTTTTCCGGTACCGGGAATCGACCTCATGACTTTGCACTTGCCAGGCAGGCACTGTGCCGCTGAGCTACATCCCCAGCCCCCAAAACCAAAACAAACAAACAAATAAACAACAACAACAACAAAACCCAAAAAATCTAATGTAAAAATGAGCAAAAAGCCAACTGTGATGTACGGTAGTCCCAGCAAGTCAGAAGGCTGAGGCAGGAAAATCACCTGAGCCCAGGAGTTCAGTGCTACCTGGGCAACATAGTAAAAGCCCATCTCTCTTTTGTTATTGTTATTATTTTGTTTGCAATGCCAGGGATAGAATCCAAGGCCTTGTGCATGCTGGCTAAGTACTCTACCACCGAGTCATACTCCCCAGCCACAAAAGCCCATCTCAAAAAAAAAAATAATAATGGGCCAAAGACTTCAATAGATAGTTCTCAGAAGACATACAAGCCAGGCATGGTGGTGGGTGCCATAATCCCAGCAATGAGAAAGGCCGAGGAAAGAGGTTTGCAAGTTCGAGTCTCACTTGGGCAATTTAGCAAGGCCCCATCTCAAAATAAAAGATAAAAAGAGCTGGGGATATAATAGAGCCCTTAGGGGTTCAACCTCCAGTACTGTGAAAACAAAAAACAAAATAAAACAAAACACAAGGACTTGGGTTGTAGCTCCGTGTTCACAAGGTCCTGGGTTTGAGCTCTAGCACCAAAAACAAAACAAAACAAAACAAAACAAAAAAAACATACAAATGGCAACAGGTAAATGAAAAATGTACAGCATCATTAATGATCAGGGAAACATCAGAAGTAAAAGGAGCTGTCACCTCTCTCCGGTTAAGACAAAAGATAACAAAGGAGCTCCTACACACTGTTTGGGAGCAATATAAACTAGTATAGTGCAAAACTATATGGAAGCTCCTCAAAAAGTTAAAAATAGAAAAAGGAAAAAAATAGAACCGTGTACTGTGTGAACCAGCAGGCTCACTACTGGGTATGTATCCCAAGGGAATTAAATGTATACCAAGAGGGGCTGGGGATTTAGCTCAGCGGCAAAAGCGCCTGCCTGGCAAGCGCAAGGTCGTGAGTTCGGTTCCCGGTACCGGAGAAAAACCCAAAAAAAAAAAAAAAAAAATTTATACCAAGAGATAATTGCATCCCTGTGGTTATTGCAGTGCTAGTCACAATAGCCACACTATGGAATCAACCTATGTGTCCATCAGTGGGTGAATGAATGAAGCATATATGGTGTATGCCTATAGGTACATACACTGGAATACCACACAGCCATAAAAAGGATGAAATCTTGTCATTTGCCACAACATGGATAGACCTGAAGGACATTATGTTTAGGGAAATAAGCCAGGCACAGAAAGACAAGTACCACGTGCTCTCACTCATATGTGGGGTCTAAAAAAGCTGTTCTCACAAAGGTAGAGATCGGAATAGTGGTTACCAGAGACTAAGGCAGGCAGGAGATAGAGAAGGAGGAGACAGATTAGTCAACAAGTACAAAGATACAATTAGACAGAAGGAATGAGTTCTCATGGTCTGTTACACAGTAAGGTAACCAGAGTTAATAATACCATAATGGGTACTTGGAAATAACTAGAGGAGGGGATTGCAAACTGTCTCTCTGCAATGAAATAACTAAGTGTTTTTTGTGATGGATAGGCTAATTATGCTGATTTGATCATTGCATGTATGCTCATGTATTATTATGTACCACATTATACCTCATACATATGCATAATCATTATGACAATTAAACAAAGAAAAGAGCTGAAGGTATAGCTCAGTGGTACAGTGCTTTCCTAGCATGCACCAAGCCCTAGGTTCAATCCCCAGCACCACACACACACACACACACAAAATCAGAACTTCATCCCTTGCTGGGCATGGTGGCACATGCCTGTAGGCCCAGCACTCAGGAGACTGAGGCAGGAGGATTGCCAGCCTGGACTACATAGAAAGACCCTGTCTCAAAAAAAAAAAAAAAAAAAAAAAACAGCATGAGTGATGTAGCTCGGTGGTAGAGCCCTTGTCTAGCATGTACAAGGGCCTGGGTCCAACCCCAGTACCACAAAAGGGGAGGGGCAAAGGATCTGAATAGACATTTCTCCAAAGACACAGATGACCAATATGCACATGAAAACATGTTCAACATCATTAGCTATCAGAAAAATGCAAATAGAAACCACAATGAAATAGTATTTCCCACCCACTAAAACAGCTATAATCAAAAAGGGCAGATAATAACAAGTGTTGGCGAGGATGTGGAGAAATTAGGGCCGTCATACACTGCTAGTGAGAATGTAAAATGGTGCACCTGCTTTGGAAAACAATGTGACAGTTCCTCAAATAGCTAAATAAAAAATTACCTTATGACCAGCAACTCCACCCCTGAATATACACCCTAAAGAGATGAAAACATATATCAACAGGAAAATTTATAGCTGCACATTCCCAAACAATATTTTTTTTTTTTTTAGATTTTTTTTTTTTGTTGTACCAGGAATCAAACTCCCAACCTCATGTTTGCCAGGCAGGTGCTGGGCCCTTGAGCTATATTCCTGGCCCAGATAACATGCTTCATAATAGCCAAAAAGTGGAAACAACCCAAACGTTTGGCAAATGTCCATCACTGTCTATCAATGAATAAATAAAATGTGGTATATCATCTATGCACAGAATATATTTGGCAAGAAAGAAAAAGTAGAGCTGACGTGTCACCCCATGGTGGGTCATATCCTTAGTACTAGGCCCTAGGTTTAATCCCCCACTGACGAGAGACAGAGACAGAGAGACAGAGATACGAGGAGAACAGGAAAAAAACTGCAGGGAGTAAGGGTAGACATTTTCAGAGTGTTTAGAGAACCAGGATCAAAGAGGAAGGAGGTGGTGGGTAAAGAGAGGTTCTTTTATTTTATAGCTTTTTTGGGGGGTTGTTGTTTCTCTGGAGGGGTGAGTTTTTTGTTTTATTTTGTTTTGTTTGTCTTTTTGAGACAGGGTTTCACTATGCAGTTCAGGCTGGCCTTAAACTCACTTTGTAGCCCAGGCTGGCTTCAAACTCACAGGATCCTCCTGCCTCAGCCTTCTGAGTGCTGGGATTACAGAGCTGCGCCACTACACCTGGCATTGTTTTTGTTTTTTGAGACAAGGTCTGGCTATGTAGTTCAGGTTGGTTTTGAATTCACTATATGGCCCAGGGTGACCTTAAACTCCCAGTGATCTTCCTGCCTCAGTCTCCCAAGTGCTGGGATTATAGGTGTGTGCCACCATGCCCAGCAAGAAATGTTTTAATGCAGATTGGATGGCCCAGTCAGTGAAAAAGGGAGACTCTGGAGTGAGCTGGATGAGGCCCAGTAGCTGGTAGCCACAGAAAGGAGCAGCAGGCCCATCCCCACAGCAGAGGGCCGCTGAACAGCACGCCGAGCTCAGCAAATGTTGGAGGGTATGTGGAGAGGCCAGCCCTCCAAGGTTGCTTCTATTTCCTCGGTGAGCTGTGAAGCAAGGTCTCAGCTGAGAGGAGAGTGCACGCAGGAAGAGCAGGTGGGACTGAGGAGACCCTGGGATGACCTGACCACTAGCTCGGTGGGAAAGGGAAAGATCAGATCAGACAGCAGGATTGGCAGACAACACCAGGTTCCCTGCACCCCAGGGGGGTGGACTGATGTCAAAGTGGGATCAGTCAGCAGGGCCGTGTCTGTCTCCAGCTTCGTCAGCTTCTTGGGATTAGGCAGGGTGTGGCTTTGCCAGGTGGATGCGATTTAATGAGCGGGGAGCAAGGGGGTTGAGGGTGTATTCAAGGAAGTAATTACAATGATGGTCCAGGTCCCTAAGCTGACTAAGGAGGAAAGTCAGGACACAAGGGAAGAGAGGAACAGTGGACTGGAGGTCCTGGTGGGTCAAAGAATTATTGGAGCTGAGGTCTACAAGACATGAGCAGAAAACATAGCAGTCATAGGAGGATTGGATAGTGGATATCGAAATTATGCAAGGTCAGGGTACTGTTATAGTTACGACAGCAGGTCCATTACCTTGGCCTTGACAACATGAGGTAGGGTGGAGGCATCAATAGCGGGAAGACATGCGACCCTCCACAGGAGAGAGGATCATCTGCGCGTAAGTGAACTCCCTAAGGCGTCCTCAGAGGCAGGGGCCTGCGAAGGGCACAGGCCTGGGGTTCAGCCAGACCTGGATATGAAGTCTCTTCCCAACTGTGGGGCCTGCATGAGAATGTCTTAGTTTCTCGGAGCCTGAGTTTCCTGCCCTGCAGAGCGAGAGATTGTTCTGGTGCCAGAAGATTATGCTCTGAAAATTGAATGAGCTTGTGGAAATCACCTGACGTGGTTCCACCCGAAGAGCAAGCTCGGTGATGTAGGCAACAATACCTGCACAGCAGTTCCCAGATGCTCTTGTCTGGGGTCCCAAAGCTGAGACTGAGCCAATTCGGGGACTAAGACTCTCCCCAGGCCCTTCCCCTTTCCTGCCCCTTCAAATCATAGAAAGTGTGAATGGAAGAGCCTGATCTCTAATTCATTCCCATTTTATAGAATAAGAAACTGAGGTCCAGGTAGGAAAAATGACTTGTCTATATCACCAAGACTCAATTGTCCTACAGAGTAAATTATCTTTTTTTTTTTTTTTTTTTGACACAGGGTCTCACTCTGCAGTTCAGGCTGCTCTTGAGCTCACTTTGTAGCAGAGTAAATTATCTTTTGAAATCAGTTGGAGTCATAATTAAGATGAGAAGTTTGTACAGAATTCCAGGGAGAGGCTCTGTATAACATCAAGAAGCTAGTTTTATTCCGGATAGACCCAGCCAAGATCCCCCTCCATTCACAGAGACAATGAAAAAAGCTGGGCTTGTTGGGAATGCCGGACCCTCCTGGATGTACCTTCGCTCACTCTCGGCTTCCTACACTCCCAAGTCAGCCTCATCTGCACTGGGCAAATATGGGAATCGTCAGCTTTGGGAATGGAAGTGTCAACAGAGGAGTGATTCACAGTGCACGAATTTGCTAATTGCTCTTTGCAGCCCAGACAGAAGAAAGGAGTGAGGAAAAGAGATCTCAGAGTTTCCTTAGAAAACTTGGGGAAGTGCGTAAGGCAGGTAGAGCTCTAGCCAGCCCCCAGGAGGCCCTGCCCCCACATGGTTTTCAGCCTTAGCTAGTCCCCCTGCGGTAAATCCTTCCTGCTTTTGGTACCGCAGTTTCCCCATCCAAAAACTGGAAAGAGGGTGAACAAAATGACTATCCAAGTTTCTTCTAACTGGGCCACTCAGAGTTCTAGGAATGTGAAACCAGGTACCTTTTCTGCTGACTTCACTGTCTAGGGACAAACATGAGGAGACAGGGCAGAAATTGAGCCAGCAGGAGTTGGCCCATGCCTGGAACCGCAGCTACTCAGGAGCCTGGGGTAAGAGGATCACAAGTTCAAAGCCAGCCTGGGGAACTCAGCAAGACCCCGTCCCAAGCTGGGGATATTACGTAGCTCAGTAGTAGAGTGCTTATCTAGGACGTTGGGGGCCCTGGGTCCAATACCTAGAACGACAAAAAAAGGAAGGATTATCTCATTAGGGAGGCCTTCCATGATCACAGCACCTGACAATGTACACTGACATCTTAGTTTGTTCTCTCTGTCCTCCCCGCAACTCCCTATGTTTGAGCACACGGTTGTTTTCTGTCCCATGGTCCTATTTTATTTTCTCCTCAGCACTATCTGAAATGTCTCCTTTGTTTCCTTCACTATTGTCTTTCTACATTTAAAAGTTCTAGAAGGACAAGTAGAAGGACAAGGCCCTTGCCTAGCCTACCTCAGGGCCTACCCAGCACCGGGGACATAGTAGGCACTTATAGACTGGATAGATAGACAGACAGACAGATAGATAGATAGATAGACAGATAGACAGATAGATAGACAGCCTAAAGAATGAACAAACAGATGGATCTCATGGGTGGCGGCAAGCATGACCCTGATCTGTGCCAACTCTTCTAAAATCAGTTGAAAAATAGGGCTCTGGAGTCAGGAGAGTTAAACTCAAGTCCCATAGTGCCAATTCGTGGTTGCACGACCTTGGGCACATTGGTTGGCCTCTCTAAGCTTCCATGTCCTATCTATAAACTGGGAATAATGACCCCACATCCTGAGGTATCTTTTTTAGGAATTAGAGGTCAGGTATGTGAAATTACCTGAGGTGTAGTAAGCGTTCAGTAAGTGTTAGTTTCCTTTCTCCTCCTCTTCTTGGGCAAGGAAGGAGGTCGGGGTGAGAGACAGGGCTGTGGCAATCTGAAGCTGTCTCAGCAGTAGCTTGGGGCAGGGGAGACTTCGTAGCTCTAGGTTTTGGAGACTCTGCACTTGATCTTAGCCAAAAGGGCAAGAAACGATAGGTTTTGGAGACCCTGGAGGAAACCAAAGGGGATTTTTTTAATATCTATTTCTTATCTTTCAAAAGAAGTTGGGGGGAAACAGCGGAGACAGTGGGAGGGACTTGCCCAAAGTCACAGGATGGGAGGAGCAGTGTTCTCTCTCTGAGGGGCAGAGGAATCCCCACGGCTTCGGATCTAGACCGATGAGAGATCAGAGTGCAGGACAGGGGCAGCATCTTGCCTCGGCTGCCTCCGAGAGGGGACAGCAGCCTCCTGGGTGCTGGGCCCAAGTAGGTCAGGGTCAGCTCGTGACCTTGGGATGTAGTTTACTGTTTCTAGGTCTTGGTTTCTCCTTCTGTAAAGGTGGCCTATTCCTCTTTCCCAGCTTGTCGCACAGGAAGATGGGAGGCTGTCAGGAGAATATTTAATCTGATGCATTAGTGGGAGAATGATCTAAGTAAAAATATTACAGTACTGAGTCAGAAAGACAATTTCTGAACTTTTGCCACAGCACATGTACTTAGCATCAGAAAAAGACGAATTCAAAAGTAGCATAGGGGAGGGAAGGGAGAAAGGGGATACAAAGAGAATTAAGATGTGTTGTGTTGTGTTGGGGGCTGGGGATTTAGTTCAGCGGCACAGCGCCTGCCTGGCAAGCGCGAGGTCGTGAGTTCAATTCCCGGTACCGGAAAAAGAAACCAACCAACAACCAAACAAACAGAAAAGATGTGTTGTGTTCTTGTACCAGCTCCCCATCATGAATGATAATCATTATGTACTGCCAAACATGTGCCACGGATTATATTCCCCTGGTTCACGGTCAGAGCCTGTGACACTGAGGAAATAGCAGCCCTTCTCTGAGCAGATTTCTCCTTACCTAACCCGGTACGGGAACGCCAGCCATGCTGTAGTCTGCAGGGGTCTGTCAAGAGAGTGTAGAAGCGTCCACCTCGTTATACACCGAGTGAGTGACCACCTTTCCTAGTCTCCCGAAAGGGTATAATGTGGAGCTGAGCTAGTGGCTCAATCTCTTTGGGCTCCTGAAAATAGCGGATGATCAGGACTAGGCCAGGTACTTTCTCAGTTTCTTCAAGCGCATATTTGAAAATAAATAAATCCTAAGTGTTCTGACTCCGCTACAAACTCCACAGACCCCTTCCCTCTCGCCAGCCCCTGGACGGCGCCGTCCCTTTAAATTCAGGCTACCGCTGCCCAATCACAACGAACAGAAGTTCTTAAAAGACCAAAGGAGGGAATCAGCCTGGGAAGGAGGGCGGGGCGGGGGCGTGTCTTCCAGCCAATCGGAATCTTCCTGAAGAACAGTGACGCACGTGCAAAACTCTGCTGCCCAATAGCAGGGCCGTCGAGAAGCGGGCGGCTCCGGCTGCGTGACAGCTGCCTGGACCAATGGGCACGTCGCCCGCCGCTATAAGAGTCAGCCGGGCGCGGGACCTCAGGCTCTAGGGGTCGGATAGTCGCCGCTGCTGCAAGTGTGCCCAGGGTTTACCTGCCGCCGCCGCCCTGCTCCTGCGTCCCCGCCCCAGCCTAGGCCCAGCTGCTCTTCCTGCCCTCCTCCCCCTAATCACCCTCCCCCTCGGTTTTTGCCGTCGGGGCCCCGGGGCTGGGCGAATGATGCCATCGAAGAGCGGGCCTGAGCGCCTGGATGGGGCGGCTGCGCAGGTGGGGACGGCTGCGGCCAAGGCGGCCCCAGCTGGCGGCGACCCCGACCCGGAGGCCTCATCAGCCTCCCCTGAACAGCACCTGAGCAGGCTGAGCTGGCCACAGGTGAAGCGGCTGGACGCGCTCCTGAGCGAGCCGATTCCCATCCACGGGCGCGGCAACTTCCCCACGCTGAGCGTGCAGCCCCGGCAGATCGTGCAGGTGAGGCGGGGGCCGGCGGGGTCGGAGCGGGTGTATCCCGCCTGCCTGGAAGGCAGCTGGAGTCTGTTCGGTTTGCTGGACAGCTGGGGAAACTGAGGAACGGAAACGGGCCCTGTAACAACTGAATAGCACATTAACACTAGACCAGACATCTCCCCGCTGCGCCTTATAAACCTTTCCCATCTGACCTTTTCGTCCTTGCCTGGAGAGCCCGCTTTCCGCCTTGAGCACCACCACTACCCGCCCAGGCCCAGGCCTGGAGAGAGAGGAGTGTGGAGGGACGCGGCCGGACATCTCCTGGGTTGCAAGGACGACAGATGTCAGGCACCCTTCCCAAGGGGAGTGTGTGTACTTGGGTCCAGAATACCTTTTCTTCCACCCAGCATCCCTGAACCACCTCCCCTGTCCCTGTCTCAAGGTTGTAGGGGCACTCTGTCCTTGTCTGCCACAGTCCCTGGCTCGAGAACCCCTGGCTAGGTCAAAAAGCCCAGAAATCTCAACAGAAACCCTCTCCCTCTCACTGGGGTCATGGCAGGAAAAGATTAAGCAGCTGAGCTCAGACCCCATCCCTAAAGGCAATGTTAAATATCCAGTGGAAGTGTCCCCCCCTGTTTTTGAGACAGGGTCTCACTGTGTAGTGCAGGCTGGCCTTGAATTCACTTAGGTAGCATGGGCTGGCCTTGAACTCACGGCGATCCTCCTGCCTCAATCTCCCTAGTGCTAGGATTACAGGCGTGCACCACCATGCCTGGCCATCCCCGAGATTGGAAATGAAGTGGACTGGGAATGTGGTTCAGCGGTAGAGCCCTTGCCTAACATGCACAAGGCCCTAGGTTTGATCTTCACCATTGGAAAAAAAATTAAAAATTGGAAATGAAGGCCAGCCGGGCTCTCTACCCTAAGCCCATCTCTGTCATGAGGGGCTGGAGAGAATTCTGGCAGCTCTTCCCTCCTTTAGACTCTTCCTTTTACCTGACCTCCCCCCCCGCCCCCCGGCCCCATGACTCCAAAGCTGTCCTTTCATCTGGGTAACTCAGGCACTGTCATGTTCTGAAATAGCAAAGGATGGTAATTATCGCACCCATGTTATAGCTGAGGAAGCCTCAGGAGGGGCAGTGAGCTACCTGAAGTTACCTAATGGGGTGAAAATCAGCCCAAGGAATCTTGAGCCTTCCCAGGAGCAGAGAGCAGCAGGTTCAAAGTTTTCTTACTCCTCTGGCTCTCAAACTCAACCGCTAAGGCTTAGGGGAGTCCTCTGAGAGAAACCAGAAAATCCAGTGCTGATTCCTGTGTGTTCTGCCAGCACATGGACTTTCCATACAAGCTAGGTGACACAGGCTGCTTCTCCAGCCAAGGGGGAGGAATGCCTGCTGGGGGCTAATCTCCCCTCCCTTCCAAGGAACTAGGAACCAAGGGGGCGGGGTGGGTGGGAGGGCCAGCAGATTCTCCTGGGCTGACTCACCCGCAGCACCAGTGGGACTCACTGAGGCATTCCTCGCTGCCCAGGCATTCCTCCCTGCCCGCTGTCATCTTGGTAATTAGGAAACCAGCTGAGGCTTTTCTCACCAGGACCTATGCTCAGTCCTGGGGTGGGAGAGGCGAGAAGGTGGTATCCAGTGTGCAGGCTTCCTCTGTAGGGTTAGGCATGATCCAAATTGCCCTTACTGGTCCCTGCTTGGTTCTATGCCCCATGAAGGCAGGCTCTGGAGCACAGATGTAAGTAGGAGCTGGCCTCTTTGCCTTCAGGTGCTCCCAGCTGTGTGGGGAAGACTGCAGCTAGTAGGAGCCGACTCCATTGTGTTGTAGTAGTACAAAGTCCTCCTTTGCGGGGGGCGTGGTGCACAATCCTAATCCCAGCACCTCAGGAAGCTGAAGCAGGAGGATCGCTGCAAGTTTGAAGCCAGCCTGACTACATAATGAGTTTGAAGTCAGCCTGAATACATAGTGAGACCCTGTCTCAAAAGAAAAAAAACAAAACCCACAAAGTCCTCCTAGAAGAGGGTCAGAAACATCACAGAACAGGCAGCTGTCTGCCGTAGACGGGGGTGGTAGAGATGTCAAAGCTGGGTGAAGAGGAAGGATGTCTGTTCGGTGCCTAGACTCTTGTCAGTTGCCTTTGCTGGATATGGTGGAATATGCCTGTAATCCCAGCCCTGAATTGAGGGAGGCTGAAACAGGAAGAGCTCAAGTTTGAGCCCAGCCTGAGCAATTTAGTGAGATTCTGTCTCAAAAGAAAAAAGAAGCTGGGAGTACAGCTCAGTATAAAGGCCCTGTACCCAAAGCAAGCCAACACAACTTCCTGGTTCCACAACTCAAAGGGAACAGGTGCATTCACTTGTCCCATACAGCTGCTTCCACAGCAAAGAAAGTCTGTCTCCGGGCAGAAATTCAGAGCTGAAGCTGGGCCATAGTGGTGCATGCCTATAATCCAGCACTCAGGAAGCTGAGGCAGGAAGATCACCATGAGTTAGAGGCCAGCCTGAGGTACACAGTGAGACCCTGTCTCAAAAAAAACAAAATGAATTGGAACATATTTTCCTCTGCACCTCAGAAGGCTTTGCCTACAACAGTAATCCCATCAGTTAGAGATGTGTCCTTGCTTACACCTGGGCCAAAGGGGACCCATCCCCTTTTAGGAGCAGCCCACCCCTACATCCCACCCCTACCCTGCCTGCCGTCACCTCCTGTAGCTCTCTGGAAGACCTGGTTCTAGTTGAGTTCAGCCAATTATTAGCTGTGTGACCTTGGATAAGTCCTTTGCCTTCTCTGGGTCCTGAGAATTGATTTAGACAGCCTGACTTCTCCAGCTGCAGCCAGAGGGCCAGCCAAAGGCAGCCCTAGTTATGAGTTTTGCAAACCTGCTGGCTGATAGCAGCTATTAGTCTTCCCGCAGGTCTCCCAGCAACCCTGGAGCAGAGCAGTTCTGGGAGGGCCTTGGCATAGGAGGAGACGCAGTCACTGCCCCCTCGGTGGCCGGAAAGTCTGATTCAGGAGGATCCAAGCTGCCTTGCAGCCCTCGGGCGTGGCAGTATCTGGGGACTGCCTGCCAAACTGGCTGTAGTCACACCTGAGAAAGACAACAACCGCTGGCTGGCTGACACAGCCGGCCCCATGGCCCTGACGCAGAGATTTAATGAGGGTACTGCTACCTACTCATCAGGCCAGATGCCATGCCCGTGGGGTGGGCACCAGCCTGGGAGCCAGACTAGCACTGAGTAAGGCCCAGTCAGCTCTAGTGGGACTTGGGGAGGGGGCTGGTCTGCTGCGCAGGTCTGTCAGGGTCCTTGGCTCTTTGGGCCACATCTCTCATTGGCCAACCTGGGCACTGCTGCGAGGGTGCACGTGGAATTCTGCAAGCTGACTACAGCAACTGACCCTGTCTGTCCAAGGACCTGGCTCCGCCGGACGTGGTGGCACACACCTGTAATCCCAGCACTCTAGAGGCTGAGGCAGGAGGATCGTTGCAAGTTCGAGACCAGCCTGGGCTACAAAAGTGAGCTCAAGGCCAGCTTGAACTGCATAGCGAGACCCTGTCTCAAAAAGACCAAAAAAAAAAAAAAGAGTAAAACAAGGACCTGGCCCTTAACCTCCTGCTCCCCAATTTCTTTGGGTCCAAGCCTAGTGATTTGAGGATCCCCATCACTTTGACATTTTGAAAGGGAAGGAGGAGTAGAACACTAATTTCTATTCTGCCTATTCTGAGTGAATGTGGTAGAGGGTAGGCTGGGCTCAGGGTGGAGCTCAGTGGTAGAGCAGGTGGTTAGCATGTGCAGAGCCTTGGATTCCTTCCCGAGGAGCCCCACCACCACCACCACCAAAAAAAAAAAAAAAAAAAAGGGTGCGAAGGCACCCCCGTGTGACCTCAAGTGACTTCACTCCTGTGAACCTCAGTCTCCCCATCTATAACATGAGATCCTAGAGGTCTGTCCCCAGTTGATGCTTTTATTTGTGTGTGCGCGTGTGCGTGCGCTCACTACTGGCGATTTCATTAACCCAGGGCCTTGTACATGCCTAGCATGTGCTGCACGGCGGAGCTACCTGCTTCCCCCGGCTCCCATAGGTTCTGGTGAGGTCCGAGTCCTGGTACTCGTTAGGTACCTGACCACTATCCGCCCCTCCTCCATGTTTCTTGTGGCCAGTGGCTCAGCCCCTTGCCAGGGCAATTCCTGCCGGAAGACTTCCTGGAGGGAGCCACCCGTCTCAGATTGCCCCACTGCGGCTGCCTCCTCAGCACTTCGGTGCATTCTTTGCAGTAATTCCCTGGGAG